TTTTGTTGTTACACTCCATCTCCCTGTATAATGTTTAAAGAAAACAATAAAAAGAAAGTATCAAAAAAACAGCCATGAGACCACAATCAGACCACAAGTTAGACGAACAAAACTGAAGCATAAAAATATCCATCTAAAAGGATTTTGGGGGCTGTTGACAGTTTGTTTTTTTTCTCCATAATTCTTTCAACTAAATTTACCGTGACACATGTTTACAGCCAGGTCGTGCAGGATACCGAAGGACCTTACCTGTGGGACTGGGGGCAAACCTGACCCTCACCTCCCCCTGCACCGTTGAGCAGCACCTGTCGCCTGCTGCACGCAGCTGGAGCTCCGTCCGTCTGTTTCCGTCCGACGTGAGGCAGCGAAACCCCCTGCGGACCTCCAAACTGTGCAGAAAAGACCGCGTACAGGTTTTAAACCACCGCGACATGATGACAGGTCACGAGGACACGAGCAGCATCCTCCAGGGTTTTTCACGCTCTCCCTCGCGCGCTGACCCGGCCGCGGTTAGGCACAGTTAGCCACGAGTGTTGCTAAAACCGCAGTAAGCACAAAAACAGCAACACAGTAACAACAGTAGCAAAAAGACAAAGTTTGTCCTCACATGTGCAAATGCTAAACCGTGTTTATTACGTAGGTTACGTTCTTCTTCGTCGACCGGAAACGAATCCTTCAGACATAAACCTGCTTACCGCCGCCTGTCGGAGGAGCGCTCGCTTCTTCCTTTAGGTTTCCTGGTGGCAGTACTGCCCTCTACAGCTGACTCTGTGTATAATTCAGTATCGTTTCATTTGGATGCCACACGAAATAAGAGCCGGTAGCTTTTATACTTGAGATAATATTTATTTTATCTCGTGCATCCAGGTTGTTTGGTTGTCTTATTCTACTGATGTCAGACTCATTTTACATGGTACTTTAATATTAACTTGGCCCGACCAGTGAAAATACCCTTTCTGTCAGTGTGAAGAAGCCTTACTTATATTTTTTTTCTCAACATAAGAAAAAAAGTCCAATTTCAAAGGAGTTTTTCTAATTGTAATGAATAAAATAAATAAATAAAATAATTCTGTCAGCACAATTAAATTGTATGAAATAAACATGTAAAATCAGAGAAAAGGTTCTGGTAAGCCATTGTCGTCGTTTTTGTTAATCACCAGAAAATGTCCTACTTTATTTGCACATTTATTTATTTTACTGTGGATATATTGTTAGGAAATAATAATAAACATAAATAAATACAAATGAAAACAAAAATCTATCTATATTAGATAATGAAAAAACAGGAACGTTTCTGTCATTTAATTTAATCTACTGTATATCTTTACTTCTGGTGTAATATGAATGGCTGTAAGGGATTCCTTTATCAGGACAAGCTGTAAAGATTATGAAAATATATGTGAATGTGTAAAATTGATTCCCGTCTTTACATTTACACAAAACATAACTGTTCCATGATTTGGGTGAGACAATATTGTGAGGGAGCAGTCATAGGACAGTGAACTAACAGTAAAGGTTAATACCAAACATGTATATACAGTTTTAAATGAACCATGCAGTTAAAACACACATCACCTGCATCTTTTTCTTCCCCACAACACAGATAAATGCTCAGTTCTTTCAAGCGTGCCTGAGGGCAGTTCTTCACAGCTGCCACATTATTGTCTTTCTTTGTGTTTTGTGTGTTTTTGCAACATTTTCCTATTTGCTGGTATTTTCTTAAGTTGCAGTCCAGAGCCTTATGTTTACACCTCTGTCATATGCCAACACTTTTTTTTCTTTGCAAAAGATTAAAAAAGACAACAACAAAAAACTTTAGAGATATTTACAGGCTCCATGCAACAATATATTAATTAGAAAATATGCCACATGTCCTCCCTATCCTATTACCTTCAAGGGTGGCTGATATAATAAACCCTTCTCTCATTTCCTATATACAGTTCGTTATATTGTTATAAGTATTGTTATATACAAATACTGAAATATAATAATAATAATAATAGTAAATTAAACTTTTTGTTAATTCATTCAGCAAATACTCATGTACTGTTACATGAGCCAAAACTTTCGCAATACAATTTTATTTGCTCTCCTTCCAGCTCGTGGTGACCACACTGAGCACACAGTGAAATCATTTAACCTGAAGTGACTCTTTGTGACGTAACAGTGATATTTATAAATATTTCTCTTGAGTTGTGGACCCTTGTTGTTTGTTGCCTATTCCATTATCATAATAATTTTGAAATATGGTTTATTTAGTAGCGCTTCTGCTTCTCTGAGGAGGAATATCTTAATTTCTAAAGCATCTAAACACCAGTTAAGTGATGTTTAAAGAAAACAAGCATCAAGACTGATAATGGGTTTGAACATGGAAACATTGGGGTAAAAACAAATGTTTGCAAATGTCCTTGAGACCACAGAAGAAGCTTGGCAGATGAAAAATGAATCAAAAAACTAAAGGGTACAGAGAGCCGGGGAACACTGGGAAGTGAACCAGCAAACAAAACAAAGTGATAGCAGGGGACACCACTGTAAGTCAGATGAGAAACGGCTGGGGAGTAATCATGAGGCCGTATGCCGAGGGATCACTCAGGTGATGTAGGTCAACAACAGATCTCTTAGTCACACCTAAGAGACGTACAATCCCACATCTCATGGTTAACCTGTGTACTTACAACCAAATGTCATGATTCATGGATGGATGCACTTTGAGATGCAGATGTTGGACCTGCAGCAGCATTTAGGACCAAATTAGGTTAAATTACAACATGAAACTGCTCGCAGTCTTGACCAAAACTAGCAAAAAGTGATTCAATGTTAACCTCAGAGGATTGTGCAACATAACAGGTTTCACACTGACAGTAAATTCTAGTTTAGAGTAAGTCACAGTTGTTTATATTAGACACTTTACCAGCAACTCTTGTCGAAGACAGGAACGGGTACATAAACAATGTGTACATCCGCTTTGGGCAGACAGTAAGAGACATACACAGTCTGGTAGGTGGAGCAGCTGAAGTTCCTGGTGCTGAGACAGGACAAGAAGTGCTTGGTGATGGATTTCAGCAGCGGTTTCATGTTGACCTCCATCCACATCTTGAACAGATCTTGATTCAAACTCCAGGCCTCAAGGGCCGGTGTCCTGCAGGTTTTAGATGTGTCCTTGATCCAATACAGCTGATTTAAATGACTAAATTACCTCCTCAACATGTCTTGAAGTTCTCCAAGATCTGGTAATGAACTAATCATTTGATTCAGGTGTGTTGACCCAGGGTGATATGTAAAACCTTCAGGACACCAGCCCTCGAGGCCTGGAGTTCGACACCCTGCTGCAGAGGGACTGCTGCCAAGTCTAATTCCCTCCACACTCAACACTGTCCCAACAGTCATGCTTGATGTCTGTGGCAGCAGTGAAGGAGAGGCTTTATTCATGTGTTTCACCAAAAAGCTAATCAGCATTCATATGGTTACATATAACCTAATGTTTAGAGCAGTAAGTTAGCATATCATGGGATGGAAAATATCCATGTTGTGACACAGCAAAACAAAAAGAAGGAGCAGAAAAACTCATTGTATCCCTCACTGGTCTTCTGAAGAAAGCTTGTTGAATTCATACCATAAATGATGCACGTGTCTGTTGTGTTCAAGAAAAACAAGTTCAAGATAGCATCTGGGACCTTCGAATTTATGACAAGTGGAAAAGTTAAATGGGAAGAAAAAAAGAAACTTACAGGAGAGCTGAACATGACCTGAAAGCAATGTGTTAATTAAACCTAACATCTGACTGTGATTCATTAAATAAATAGCCCAATGCCTCCCAAACAGCCATGAATATCAATAGCCATGTTCTTTTCATAAGTAGCTAGAGAGATGTAACACGATACACTGAAAACAAACAATGTGCATAAACAAACCGTCAACTTTAAGAGGAGCAATAAGACTTGTTATACACCAGCGAGTGTGAGTTAGTATTGTTTTTCTTGAAGTGCTCAAGAATGTGTCACTCACAGATGAACTGTGGACAGATTTGTGAGGCTGTCTAAAGGTTCTCATATGTCCTTAATAATGAACTAATGTTAGTTCAGGTGAGTAAAAAGTGTTGGCAGTAAGAAGCAGCGCGACCACTCGCCGTTAATTCACCGGCTTAAATTAGTACATCTGGACATCACGTTGTAATAAGAACCTGGTGCGTGACATCAAAAGTAGTTCAAAGTTGCGTCGTTGCGTGTGTGAAAATGGCTTGATTATAGTGAGCCAAAAAGGTAATGGAGACATGCCGTGATTTCTTCTCCTTTTTCATATTGTGAAATAACTTTGACCTATGTTCTCACTGCACCCGTCGGACACCATTTTTCCTGAATCGATTCACTCTGGTAAAACCTGTATTAATTTCTCTTTTCAGCCAGAGCAGCAAACCAGTTTAACTGGATCTGCGTGTGCATGCCATGCTGTGTACGTGTTTATGATAACAGGCAAATGAAGCCTCTCAAAACCCAAAATAACTTGTTTTCAAAATGATTGGACGCAGCATTTACTGTAGATATGCTGATTTTACAGAGCGAACGACAAAAGTTACTAAATGACAGAGGAAAGCCTGAAGACTGACAAAATCTCTTTTTCATCATTGGGAAAAAAGTCAGCCTTTATTTTGGTGTCTACAACAAGTTGCCAAGAAATCCAAAAAACAAAGTGGAAGTTCAACCTGCTATTCAGAAATAACTTTATGCTGTATGTCTCTTGCTCCACTTTATACACACATTCACAGACAAAGCAGCAGATTCCTTGCCGTCATCTATATAAAAGCTCTGATTACAATATGATACACTCCTACAAAAAAAGAAAAAGGGCCAGCCCTCTTGAGCAACAGGTAGGATTCAGCCATCATCACCGGTGTCACAGTCACAAGGAAACACACCCTTCACTCGTGCGCCGGTGCCTCCAGTGTCAGAAGACAGTGTTTAACAGAGGCGATTTACAAGATCTGAACAACTCTACCTACAGACGTGATCTGGTAAGAAATCTGGCTTTGATTTGATTTGCTGTTTTATCATTTTAAGTTCCTACTCAGCCCTGAAACTCCATCAAAAGGACATATTGCTCATTTTAAAGCTTATCATAGACTTAACTCATAGATCTACTTCTATTCAAGAGATGTTTTTAATCACTGCTGCATGTAGGCTTGTTATTCAGTAGCAAACAGACGCAGACAAAGCAGAAAATCCCTTCAGCTCATAATAATTTGGTCTTTCTTGCCCTGCGAGGGTTTACCTCCAGTGACAACGCGCTATTTGCGGATTGCATGCATGGGAATAACAGCTACCTTATTAAACCAAGAGTCTTCAGGTTGGTGTGTTATCCTCGAAGAAATGGCATCACTGTGCTCTTTACAGTGGTACCAATAAAAAATATGACTTTCTAAAGGAGATCAAACTATTTTACTCTTGTTCATAAGAAAATATACTACACTGAAAAATCTTTAAACACAGAAGCAGGAAAATATTAAATTCAAAGTGCATACAGCAAATGGTACAAGTTATTACACGTCTATAAGTAAAGCATAACAAATAAAGTACTTCTTATATTTACTTATTTTTACTCGAACATAAAAGGCGTCTTTAGCGGGGATGGCTTGTTTTATTTTTTCACGTTTTCTTATTCTCTATTTTATTCTCCACAAACTGACAGTTCAGATGACTGCCAGTAACAATGCAGTACTATTTGCTTTATATATCTCAAGCTAACAATTAGAAAAACAACAACTCTGAAATGTCATTTTTTATATATATATATTACATGTGTTTATTTTGAAATGTTTGCAAATTTGGCTATGCTGTGTAACCAGCATTAAAAGTACTAAAGTTTTCCAACACGTTCTGTCTTTGAAAATGGCAAATTATTCACAAAGTGTCTCAGTGGTGTTGGTCTTTCATCTGACAGGCGTACAAAGGGCCAAGGAGGAGGAGGACTGATACTGAGCAAACATTTTATCCTTAAATAATTATTTGTTCTCGGTGTTGCAACATATGATGAGGCATAAACAGGGCGAGAGTTTTGGGGGGAGCCGATGTGTAAAATATTTGTATGATAAGAACTGCACAATTTATCTATAACATTATAGGTTTTTCTCTTCTTTTAGTAAATGATTACATTTTGACTGTTGCTGGATTAGAAATGGTCATTGTGTGTGGCATAAGTAAAAATCTAATTTGACCTCTTTTTAAAAATTTTTTTACAAAAGTCTTGTAAAATAAAAAATAACAGTTGAGGAAAAACTCAAAAAGCTAAATAAGTCATGTTGGTTTTGTATGTTTCGTGAGTGTGTGGCCGCTTTGTGGAAACAAACAAACCTCCCAAATGCAGATCAAAGCTGCTCCTTATAAAGTAATCACATGTATATTGATAAAGCTTTTGGTCACCATATCAAACCCCTTACAAAAGAATTGACATGTAGGTGGAGGCCCATGTTTGGTTTGAGTGACTAACGTGTAAAGGAGCAGCATTTCAAGATACCAGCATGACTCTCAATATTGCGTGCGAGAATGTTTGTACTTCTTTATATGTTTCTCAAGGAACAGAAGCAAGTGCCTAACATTGTGACAATGGTGTCCACGGCCAAGCGTAACGATGAAGTCATCGGTGCATTGCGTGATTTCACTGTACTCAAACAAACGGACAGTTCTGTGAAAAGCAGCAGCAGCAGAATTGGATAAAGTTTTAGGTCATTTCTGAAGGAAAGTGCCACAAAAGTCAAAATTAGAAGGTTTGTTAAAGGAATCACTCTACTAGTGATGACAATTTGCAATGTGGTTTATGAGCAGGGTTATGTGAAGGTTATCTTTGTTTTCATTGTTATAAGCCGTGTGAGGCAGGGTTTCAGCATTCTTTCCACTAATGCTTCAGTTCTCCCATCATGCTTTAATGTCACTTTGTTATGGGTTACTTTAGGTGGCTGTATGTAAGACATCTAACAGCCACTCCCTGATTCCTTTCAGCCACTAAACACACAGGCATTCGAGTGAAAGGTCAGTAATAGACTGACTTTTCATTGTTTGCCTAAAAAGATTGGTTATATAATGTTTAAAGCTTTAGATGGCTTGAGCCACAAGCGGTTCGCCCCTAATTTGATGATGTCTGACCAAGATGTGATATATAGCACTTTGATACTGAGTGCCAGTTATTTTAACATCCCGATCATTAATCCACCTGTTAGTTATGTGATGCCTGTAGTTCCTGTAATGCCTGGATGACTGTGTCAGCTGCTTTCTCTTCTTCTCTCCCCAGTGATTTTCAACACAAAGCCCTCACATCTCATGAGACTGGTTGCATTATGAGAGCTCGCTACCTGTTCCTATTGGTTTACCTACTGGGGAGCTCCTTTGGTAAGAGGAAGTTTTGTGCGTTTAATGTATATATGTATAAGAATCAGCAGCTCATTAAAAGGAAAGACCGGTGGCATGATTGGGGGAAAAATCTCCTAAACTGACAATAAAATCACATCATTACAAATGTTGTTGAGATATTTTCATGTCCCTTTATTCCCATGACCTATGAATCATAAGGAACATGACTATTGTAGCCCCACAAACATTACTCTGCTGCTGTAAATACGCACTAGAACAATAAATCTGCATTCATCCCCACAAGCTCAGGTTCAGTTAATGTTGATTAAAATCTTGCCAGAGTGTGGAGGGAAAGTACTCAGCTGATGTGCTTTGCTGACACTCACATAAGACCAATGGCCATTTTGCCTTGGACAGTAGATTAAGAAACTTACACATGATACACTTTAAATACTATAATCTAAAATTAACGTATTAATATTTATAAGATAATATTAATACTTCTTTTTTTTAAAAACCCACTCGTGTTCAGGTGGCTCATGAACTTCTCGTAACTGTCAACTTTGCTTTTGATGCTTTTGATGAGGACCATTTTAAGCTGTGGATTTATACATATTTGTTTTTTCATGACACCAGTATTTATTTAAGCCATGAATAATGAAAATGAGTCAAAATGGTGCAACAATGGTGCGATTCATGGGTGTGTTTAGGTAGTTTCTAGACAACAATAACGGGCTTAAGCAGATAAATAACAATAGGTTATTTCTTAGAATCAATTCTTACCACTGGTTTTACAGAAAATGTTTTTATCCTTTTACTGTTTATATTTTATGCTTTGTAAGGTGGCCTTGGGCTTTAGAAAGGTGTCCAGAAACCAAATTATTATTATTAATATTATTATTGTTATTACAAAACCAGAAACATTTTGACCAAATATTATTTCAGCAGCACAATTTTAAAGCTACGTGTACCTTCTTGGTCATTTTGTGACATCTTCTCCCGTATATGATGCCAGTATTGTTGACAGTTTCAACACTTCTCTGTAACCAGTCTCTTAGAATAGAATAGGAGCTTCTTTTTAGCATCAGCATTTTAATAATATACACTCGAGAGAGAAAAAAAAAGCATTTTACTATTACAAATATACAAATCCGGGTGGTTTTTGATGCCCTTCTACAACCTCATTAAACAACAAGCTGGGACTTTGTGTAAAATTGTAACTGAGAGGTGTGGATCGTATGCTTCTGAAAAACTCAAACCAAATCATTTATACTAAATCATGTCACTAATTAGCCCCACACAGCCTTTAAATCAGCAATTTAAAAAACAAGAAAAGAGTTTAAACATTTGGTATGCTATTTCCTGGCTAATTTTGCATTAAAAATAGGACTTAAATAATTTCCAAACTCTGCTGCTTAAACAAGTTTTGGGGAAATGCATTGGTAGGATTCAGCTCTAACATGCAACTCTGTCTTATCCCAACAGCAGGATCCAGTGCACAGAGGTAAGATCAGGACACAGAAACAGACATAATATTTACACTTGTAAATTTTACACTCTTCTAAATGCAATAACCTGTATAATCTTTCTTTTCTGTAATTGGTGGATCGTGCAGTAATGGAGTATGCACAAAAGATGCCTGCACACAGGTTAGTGTAACTGTAGCACAACACAACACAAAGCTACAAGTACAAACGTCATATTGTTATTGCTTTCTATTCTTTTAAAACATTTTTTCATGCAACATATGTTGAGCTGACTTTGAATATATGCAAACAGTCAGTATGGCTAGGATATTATTTCGTTAGCGTGGTTGTGAGATCACAGGTACCGTCATGAGATTCTTGTTATGACTACAGTTGTCAAACTGCCCAAAACGCATACCAAAAAGATCAAGATTAGCTCATGACCTGTTCACATCGTTTTTTCCACTGAGCTTGATTAAATACTTTTGAAGAGTGACTGTGAAAACACTGGGTAGTGCACTGGTGTGGGTAAACATGTCAAACAATAGATTTCCCAGTATTTGACGCGAGTATGGCGAAATGCTTTATCACGTTAAGAAGATGAAAGATTATGTTTCATGACAAATATTTTCAATATTAAAGATTTTTCTTTAATATTGAAAATATTTTTCTGTGTTATCTATGAATACATTTTATTTCGGAATTAAATCACTTCTACTTTAATAACTTTTATTTTGTGACATATCCTGTTTTAAGAGCATTAAGCAAATGTTGTAAAAAGATTAATTTAGCTAGCTAGCAGCTAAATTAACAACACCTACCTTATTATAAGAACAGGAGACAGTTTAGAAATGAATTCAAGTGGCATAAATCTCACAGCATAGCATAATATTGTTCCAATTTGTAGTGTCAGCCCAAAGTTCGCTAAGATATGCATCTGAACAAAATCTCCCCTGGGCAACTGGAAACAAACTAAGTGCTGCATTTGTATATGTGTATATGTATATAACAACGATCAGCATAGAATCAGCACACCTAAATCAGATACACTTGCCATAAAAACTGCGTCATCTATGGTGTGAACCCGTTGTTTAAACTAAATGACAACAGTAACTTCAGGACTTCTGACATAGTCACATTTAAAAACAAACTCTTTATATATCTTGCTATAATAATTCAGATCATTTTTATTGTCTTATTTTATTATTTTTTATTTTAACAGTTATTTCACATAACAAGGCCTTCAGTGTGGTGCTGTGGTGTTTTAAACAATGATGTTTTTATTGTTATTCTTTATGCTGCTGCCATAATACAGCAATTTCCTTTGCGGGATCAGTAAAGTATTCATATGTACAACTATATGAGAGGAATTATTAATCATGCAACCAGGCAATCAGTGTAATAAATCACAATCAGACAATCAGGCACAATTAATCTCATTGCTTTTGCTTTTTAGTTATTGAAATATTATTTTTGTTTTTGGTTTCCATCTTAGTAATTTTTCCACTTGTCATAAATTTCAAGGTCCCAGACGCCACCTCGAACTTCTTACAGTGTGTGGGCCTGCCTTCGACAGACACGGGCGCAGATGAAATGCGAAAGCTGAAAGGAATTCTTGAAGCCACAATGGATGTGTACACGTTTATGGTATGACTTCGACAAGCATTCAGCAGAAGAACAGATGTTACAAATTCCAGTATGACCAGTCAGGGATGGACTAAGTTTGTTTTTTTATTCTGTCACAACACTGACATTATTTGTTGGTCACTAACTTATAAATCCTGTTGACAGTAGGTTTCATGTAAGCAGATGAATGCTGAGTAGCTTATTGGTGAAACATGTGAGTATAAAGCCTCTCCATCACTGTTGCCACAGAAATCAAGCATGACAAGAGGACCAATTTTGAGTGTGGAGGGCGCTCTGGAATTAGACTTGACTGCAGACGCTCTACAAAATCAAGATCTGGTCAGGATGTGGTTGGAGGTCAACATGAAACCGCTCCTGAAATCCATCACCAAGCAGTTCTTGTCCTGTCTCAGCACCAGGAACTTCAGCTGCTCCACCTACCAGACTGTGTAGGCCTCTTACTGTCCTCATCTTTATTTCTGTAATTTTGAGATTTTAGTATAATAATCCAACATCCCACGTCTCCTCGCAGAGTGGAGGAGCTCAGTCAACACTATTCTGAGATGGATCCAGTCAGGCAAAAGTGGATCTACACATTCTTTATGTACCCGTTCCTGTCTTCGGCAACAGTTGATGGTAACGTGTCTAATACCAATAACTTTTTCTTCCTATAAACTAGACTTTACTTTCAGTACAAATATGTCACACGGTATTGTGAGGTTAGCATTTAATCACTCTTTGCAAGTTAAGGTCAAAAATAGAAACTGTTTCACGTTCATATTCCAGCTAAACCTTAATTTATCGTAACTGCTGCTATAGGCCTAAGCGCTGCATTGTGCATGTGTTATCAAAATTGTACTTACACAGGTTATCAAAGTGTTATCTAATAGCTGTTAAAGTACTGCAAGCAGATTTGGAAATGACCGTGTGCCATGAAATGTATCTGTATCGCCTTTCAAACACTCACACCGTGGCCCTTTACATGAAAGTTACAGTGCCAGTCTTTGTAGATCAAACATGTTAACATCATCTTAATATTTACATATTTACAACTCAAAGGCATGCAATGGTATTTCCTACAACTTTTTTCTAGAAGTGTCTCTCATTATCATGTGACCCTCAACAACTCTTTCACAAGCAACAAAGTTGCTTCTTGCTTGTACTGGCATGGAGACAGCACAGCACACAGCTAAGCATCTAATCATTTACTGAGGTTTGCTAAAGGGTGTGTGGATGTGTTCAAAACAACAAATAAATAGGTTTTCTCAAAAGTTTTGAATGTTTCTGTACCAAATTAGCAGCTGTCACTAACTGAAGGTGCCAACGATGTTATAAATGTCATTCATGCAAAAAGCCTGTTTGCATAATAACGTCCAAATAAGCCTCTTGCAACAACTTGTGTTGCTTTCTTGAGGTCTTTATTTGGTGGGTTTTGAGGTATTATACAACATTTGTAGACAGAAAAAACAAATAGAAATAGCTTTTAAAGTGTTTAAAGGCTTTAACAAAAAAAAGGAGGCACCAAACTTACTAGATTTGGAGCAGTCACACACACAAAAACCCCGACAGGGAACACTGTGCAGGGAATGGGGTGGGGATTGCATTCTTCTGTGATAAAGAGGAAAATCATTGTCCAGAAGTTAAACAACACAGGACAGGGTCAAAGTGCAGCTAGGGCTAATAATGTGTTTTGTTCTTAATTAAGTTATTTGGGTTTTTAAAATGGATAAAATCAAATTTAAAAGAAGAAGCAAAGTTCTCATGTTAGACAATAAAGCATCAGAACCAATCAAGTGCTATGTTTTACTAAAATATGTTTGCAGTTTTTAATCTTTGACAATCTGCATTTGTCTGCAGACAGACTGAAATTCATTAAGTCACAATTAAAGCTTCAGTTTGTTCAAATGTTGGAGCTAACTGCTAGTATGTACACAGTCGGTCAATGTGTGATCTGTGTGCAGGCTGTGTGAGGCCAGATGAGGGCAGTGCGGAGTGGCTGATGAAGAACTTTGGTGCCTTCAGTGTCATGGCCCGCTTAAAGGACTTTTCAGAGCTCAATGTGGTCTTCAATGGAGTGAGTTAAACTGAGCCTTAATTAAGATTTTATGAATTTTATACAGCTGTTTTTATGGCAATCTGGACACTAGAGAACTCCACCACAACAAATATCGCTGCTCCACACTTCTTCCTGTTCTTCTTCTCTTACTCCTTTTTTTTCTTCATTCACAGCTGGAGGTTCTTAACTTGTTGTCTCCAGCACAAAAGGCCGAGCTGCTCATGAGCCCTTATGTTGCCAGTTTAGACAATGGCACATTAGCCTTGGTCTTCCACAGTCTGCTAACAGGGGAATCTGGCCCATCACCCACTGCTGGCCCTGGATGGGGCCCCAACTGGACAACCCCTGGGTACCCACCCTCCTATCCAGTACAGCTGTCACATCAGCCAGGCCTCCAACAGGTACAGTAACAGAGTGCGCATCCACCTGCAAAAATAATTGAAGATGTTTTCATCTCTAGAAAAAATATTCATAAAAAATTTAATTCAGTAAAATTTAACAGCCTCTGCTTCATTGCACATCCAGGTCGTAAATGGATTCATGTCAGCCTTCAAACCCATCGGGAGCTTTGTTCATAATTTTGTGTCCTTCACACGTGAGGTACACAAACACGCGCGCACACTCATGTGTTGCCACTCTCTAAGCTGTCTAAACAGCTCTACAGCCAGTTAGAAAAAATGACCCCTGACCTGTTTTTTCCAGAGAAATCCGTCAAATATAAGAAGCACCACTTTGACCCAGTTCCTGCTCAACTGGACTCTTTCTGAGCTGGCTGGCAAATACCAGCCAAGCGCACCTGAGGTCCCAGAGGGACCTAAGTTTGATGTGACAAATGTAGTAGACTGGTATCATTACGTTGTGAAGCCGCTGTTACGGAGGTTTTTGCCCGATGAAGAACTCCTGATGCATGAAAACATCACGCTCGCTTTCCACGAAGTGTTGTAAGTCGGAATTCCTCATTTACATTAATGGTTTCCATTGAAAATAGGAAAACTATCAATAATGCATCAGTGATGTAGACACATCAGCGGCTCTAAAGCTCTATCCAGCAACGCTCTGTTAAGCCTGTTTTAGCTTGTGTTTATGGTATGCTATGCTGTATAGTGACCCCATTCTCTTTGCTGTGCTTTTAAAAGCTCAATTTCTTCTTACGTATTAGTGCAGACTGAAATTAAGCTAAGAGTGGTATTAGAAAGCCAGTCTGCAACTAAAACAAATCTTTAAATAAATACCACAGTAATTAGCAGTCAGAGGCTTTAGCACCATTTAGGAATGATTATTTTTCTAATTAAGTAATTATCTGGTTTCAAAATGTGAGGAGAAATATACATAAGAGCATCTCATAGTCACTCAAGGTCAGAAGAAATTCACTAAGTCAATGTTACAATTTGCAGTTTTCCGTTCCTTGTAGAACTTTCGTACTTGTCACTCTTTGAGGGACTTTTGTCAATTTCACATGTGCTAGAACACCTTTTAAAATGTGTCTGTTTGCCAGCATGCCAGCAACTCCAGTGTGAACGTTGCTGTGCTGTAAGATGATGCATCACTATGTCTTTTGTGTTCAAGCGTGTTCTTTACTTTTGTGCAGCCGTCTGGACAACAGTATGGACAACATGACGGTGATTGAAATCCAGGATGTCTGTAGCATCACCCTCGATAAGAGCCCTTGCGGGGTGAGGTTTTATTTACCTTTGATTATTGACACTCGAATGTTTTGAATTCTTCACTTAAATTCCTGACATATAAAAAAAAATTGAATGTCAAAAGTTTTTCTAACTTCTGTGCCGATGATTTTTCTTTCCGTGCCGTCAGCTGACCGACGCGGTGGCAAACGTGGCTCATGTCTTGCACTGCGCTGCTCGTAACAACCTGACCATGACAGAAGCCGTCGTCTTGAAGCTGGTTCTAGAGCTGACTCAACGTCTGAACTTGCTGATCAAGGAGCTCTCCACAGCAGTGAGTACTGTCCAACAGCTCCACGGTGACTTATAGCTTCACAACATTGCTTTCATAGGCTTGTGTTTTCACTACACACATTGCAGCTTCAGCAAATCAATGCTTCCTCGTTCTTCATCCTCTGTAGAACTTCACGCAGTTGGAATCCGAGTTTAAGCAGATCTTCAGCGAGTCAAACTCAGCAACTCTGACCCAGGAGCACCTGACGGACCCAGCTTTCATCCAGCTCTGGTTCAAGGTCAAGCTGCTGCCCCTCCTGCCCGACGTACAGCCAGAGCTCCTCTCCTGCCTCAGCACCAAGAACTTTTCTTGCCCCGTTTACCAAACCCTGTGAGTCAACCGTCTTCATTTCTCTTTCATTTAACGAGAACGTGGTTTGGTGCAGTCGTTCTCACTTTGACTTTGCCCTGCTGTGTGCAGTGTGGCGGCGCTCAGTGAACGCATGAACTTTTTGGATGCTGATCCGATGTACAGCAGCAACATCTACGAGTACTTCATCTACCCCTTCCTGCTAAATCACAACACCTCGGGTAAGAAGAGGACACAGACAACACAGATTAACACACAGATACTACAAAACCAGTTCCTTTGGCATTTATGTTAATGTTTGTACAAATGCTTCAGACCCCCAGTGTGTCTCTGCAGTTAATAACAGCGCAGAATGGCTGCAACTCAACTTTGGTTTCTTCTCGAGCTTTGCCTCTATCTTCGACTTCTACACACTCAACCCTTATTTCTCTGGAGTAAGTTTGCAAAACACAGATGTGCTCAGACTTAACAGAAGCAGTAATTTTACTATACAGTAATTGTGCTCTCCTCTTCTGCTTTGTAACCCGCTCAGCTGGAGGCTCTTGACCTCCTGACTCCAAATCAGACGGTAGAGTTGCTGCTGTTGACTCTCCCAACTCCACCAGAGAAAGACGTTGTCATCAGCCAAGTGTTTAACTTCCTGACGGAGTCACCTGCAGCCAGGAAGTACCCAGAGGTCCTCAGCGCTTTGGTCAGGCTCGCTGGAGAGGTAACAGCTTTGGCTGAGATGTGTACACAGCAAAATCTCCTGTGTTAAATTAACACTAGAGAGTGCACTGGAATATTTCTAACATTTTGAGTTATTTTCCAGTGTTAGAACATCAGCACTGCTCGGTGTTAGTCATTGTTAATCTTCAAAACTGACTAGGTTACCTTTAAACATATAACACTGTCAAAAGTGTTAATTTAACACTCAACAGTGTTGTATTTAACACCCAGAGGAGTGGACCCATATAGACACTCTCCAGTGATAATTTAACACTGGAGATTTTGCTGTGATAGGTGTTGAGCATGCTTTAGCCTTTCTCAAATATTAATCATAAAATATGCAATTTTTCAGATCAATCCTTCCTGCGACATCTACAAACAAATGTGAGTAACTTTAACCGGTTTTCTGACTAAATGAGCCTCACAATTCTTTCCAAGCTGTTTTGTTCAGTGAATCAGGAGAACTCTCTCACTGCAGACTATACCTGCAACCATGTTCAAGCTAAGGCTTCATAGCAATGCATTAATGGCTAAAACTGAACCACTGCTATTGCTATTATTAATTCAGAAATAAAAACAGAAAGAGAAAGAAATGGGATTACAATATACATTGTGGCATTAATATAGCTTATTAACTGGATTAATACAGGATAATGTAGAAAATTAATTACATGACAGGTAGTCATTTTTAATGCAGATTTAATTTCAGCTTTCAATAGTGGACATCACAAAAACAAGGTCTGAAGGTCTGATTGGGTAGCTCTCTCTATACTCTTTATTTACGTATGTGTTTTGTTTTGTGTTCTTTTGTATTCCAGCTTTACACAGCTCTATGCAGCCATACCATCTCTGCCTCCAGAAATGGAACCAGTCACCTGGGCCACTATAGAAGCCCTGATAAACATTGCACCTGTCGGTACGTTTCACTGCCTCACAAACACAAAGACAAAAAACGACTGAGTGCACAATGTAATGGCTTAAGCTAGTCCATGTAAGTAGACCTAAACCTGTGCTTTTGCTGACTGAATATTTTTTATTTTCTGATTTGGACAGAGTGCGTGCCGGCGAACCTCAGGGTGAGATTTTTTCTTCTATACAATTTAGTTTAAATCCCAACAAATCCCAACAACTGTTGTCTTTTCTGCTCATATCACATCTTAATTTGAATGCTTTTAAGCTGTGGTTGTCACAACGGTTTGAATAATATTTCAATCATTGTTTTAATTTGTTAATCCCGTCTTTTACAGTGCCCGGTAATCCCGCTCAATGGTAAGACTTTTTTTGACTGTTGCCAGCGTAAACACTAATGCATTCTGTTTGTATGATTTCTGAAAAGAAATAATTTTCTGTTTTTTGACAGAAACGCAGAGCTGTGCAGGAGTCAACAGGTAACCCTTTTAACAGGATTTACATAGTAAGCAATGCTACTGCAGTTGTTTTCTATTCTGACGTGTATTTCCTGTCTTGTGTGACCCAAAGCTCTGATCTGCTGTCTTACTTGGACACCTTTAATCAAGTTCCCTGCAACGTCCCCTTGGAGGAATATGCCTGTGCACAGGTAATAATTTACTTTAACAGAGCCGGTGAGGACTCATTACTGTTTATTGCAGAGAATAACTACACGTCCTCTGTCTCTTTCACACATCCAGCTGGACAACTTCACAGCCAATCAACTGGCATCTCTTCTGATGTGTAATCTTTCTGGGAACAGCGCCCACTCCAAAACTCTGTGGAAAATCCTGCTCACTAAAGTCTCCAATGTTTTAAACCCAGCCCTGGACATCCTGGCTAACATGGTTAATGACTTTAATAAGCTTTAACAAACAAATAAGGATTCATGAAATGAATCATTCAAACACTAAGTTGCAAGAATTGTGACCTGGGGAAAAGTTAATCCACCTTTAAAATAACTCAATTATCTCTTGTTTAGCCGATGCCCGTGATTCCATCAGCGCCACAGGTTTTGGATGTGATTGGAGAGATCAGAGTGTCGCTGCTGACAGATGAGCAGCTGCAGAACAGCGAAGTTATCAGGTTGTGGTTCTCAGGCCGCCTGAGGAGCTTCTTGCCTTACGCATCAGGGATGTTTCTGCGCTGTCTCAGCAGCACAAACCTGACCTGTCAGTCATACCAGGAAATGTGAGTATTTGTCAGAATTGCTGCTGCACAAGCCCAACAGCATGCATCCAGTATGGTTCACAGTTCAGAGGATTTCTGCAATTAATATTTCTAAATTTGATCTGAACTTCATTCAGGTCTAGAATATTTCGTGTCATATCCATTAATAAAAAAAAACTGTCAGCGAATGGAGTGTGGAGTTGTTAAAGAAAGACGCAAAGGGCATGGCAAATCATAGGGCATGGCAGAGAGAATTAATCTGCAAAAGTTCACAGTTTTACTTACAATGAAATCTCAGTTAGCTGTTAGTTTGCTATTTTTCATATTTAAGATGAGTAATTACATTAAAAAAAATCAGTCGTAAATGTAAGGAAGCGATAATAACGATTCATTATCAGATGAAAACAGTCTGGAAAATCACAAACAAGTCAGTAAAGCTGGCACATGGCATGAAAGTAAACCAACCTTCGCAGTAACATCAAGAACAAAAAGACAAGTAGGACAGGAAGTGTAGAAGGCACGCAGATGAGACTAAATCAAGAGTCGAAATACAACAATACAACAACGGTTGGTTTAGTCAAAAATCCAAAGGGTTCTCTGTTATATCCATGCAGTACAAATATAAATTTGTTTTTCAATTACAAAATGTTATTGGTTAGTTAGTTCTCTTTTTTTTTCTTTTTTCTTTTTGCCGTGATTTCATTTTCAGACTGCAGACGTTTATCAGCCAGTTTAACCAGATGACCTCAAACCAGCAGCAGTTGGTCTTGCAGGATTTCATACTGCAGTTCCTGACGCAGCCACGCTCAGGTACGCGCATGCTTCGTATTTTAATTTAACAACTAAATAAATACAATTAAAAATCAATCATTTACAGTTATTTCTACTTTTTCAAAACTTCTTCTAGATTCCAGCTGTGTGTCTACCTCCAACAGCACTGCAGTGTGGATACAGCAGAATTTCGGTCCATTTTCAGCACTTCTGTCGCTCACTGAGCTGATCCATCTCAACCCACAATTCAACCCTGTGAGATGGGACTTCGGTTAATTGACGCGATTTCAAAAAATACAAACAAACAAAGCTGGGAACTAATAGAAATAACTCTCACTTGTTCCGTATTTCCTTTTAGATTGAAGTCTTGACACTCCTGACTGCACAACAGAGCGCAGAGCTGCTGTCGCTGTCGCTTCCAAATCTGCCGGACAAAGCTGTCATCATCAACGCGCTCTTTGACTACCTGACCGTGTCTGCTGAAAAGAATAAATTCACAGAGTTCCTGACCAACCTCACCGTGTTCATTCACCCGGTAAAAAGAGCAACTGCCTTCCTGTTAAGTCTTCATTTTTACTTTCCTGTGCTTGTTAAAGTAATGAATGATGTTTGCTTTCTTTCTCCTCCAAGGAAAACTTCACTTGCTCTTCATACAAAACGCTGTGAGTTTCACATCCACTTATACTTGGCACTTTTGAAGTGGTTAAACTATTTTATATAATCTGGCACTATGATTAAAATCTGTGTGTTTACATGTTACAGGTTTACCAGACTCGACTTGGCCATACCTGTGGTTTCTCTTGGCATTGTTGCAACTATCACACAGACTAAAGAGGCTCTATCCCACCAACTACCACCTGGTGAGTGTTACATCAACATAAAGATTTAGAACACTAATTCTCAAAGTCTTATATCCAGCTTTGTCTCTTCACTGCTTCATCTTATTCCACACACCACCTGCTCTATGGACACGCTAAATGTAAATTGTCAATAATTAGCAAGCGTCAGGAATAACATCCAGTCTAACTGTAGCTTATTACTGAACTGATTTTTTTTTTAAATACATTAAACTGATTTGCATTTCCTGTGTTTTTATTTCAGACTGCATCATTGGAGAGGTAATTGTATGTTTTAGATTATTTGTTTTGTCTTACATTAGTCTTAATATAGTAGATTTGTAATGTGCTCTGTGTTTGTTTCTCTTACAAGTGTAATGTCAGCACGGCAAATGGTAAGTTCTCCACTTCTTTATGCATAAAAATGCAATTTTTTTTATTGTCAATTTATAACTTTTTTTTCTCCTTTTGTTGGTACAGAAACGGAAATCTGTATCGGTTTGAACAGGTAGGATTTACATGAACCTGTTGGAGAGTTTACTTTTTATGCAACGTTGTCCCAGATGTCAACAAAGTACCAATCACATGTTTTATTTTGAAACCACAGAACAGCAGTTCAGCTCCAACTCACCAGTGCACAGACGAGTGGAAACCTCTGTGACTTGGCCGTTGAGCAACTGGCTTGTGCCTCGGTAAGAGCGTCACATAATCTTTTTAAATTGATTTATTTATTTATTTATTTGCCTGTCCCATTTGGTTCTTTAGCCGTCAGAATTGTTGTCTGAAGACCAACAAGGATACCCAACAGATTTACTTTGCCAAATGGATCATCACGGCCTTGCCGTATTGGTCCATTTGATCGACCTTTGTTGTTATCATTTATTTTATTTTATTTTCAGTTGTTACAGACGAGACAGACATGACTGAGGGATAGAAAAGGGAGAAAGAAAGATGAAGGAAAAGAAAATCAGAAGGGAAGAGGGACAGTGAGGAAGGGCACTTAAAAAGAGAGAGAAGAGAGAAAAAATCTCCTGGATCACCTGTTGAGAGAAAAAGAAGAGAAAACAAGCAAAAAACCAGAGCAACATACTAAACACAACACCGTCACGTTAATCTAGCTAAGTGTAAACAGCAGTAAATACTAAATATTGAATGTTGTTGTGTAGCAAGCAGGACCGACAGCGCAAAATGTGCTTGGAAGTAGCAGCCAATAAAGGTGTAGTCTATGTCTATGAACAGTGGACACCCGCGCGGACACCTGTGTGGATCAGCGTGCTTGTATTCAAAAGGTTTGAGTGTGAGTGAACCGAGCCGCAGGCCCAGAGGCCATAGGCCCGAGGGCCCCCTTTGCCCCGGAGGAGGCCTGACCAAGCAAAAAAAAAAAAAGCGTCACATAAGTCAACAGCCGTCTGTGATTCAGCTCGTTTTCACTTTCACTGTAGAGTCTAAACTGCTCTCTGTCGTCACGCAGCTGTCAACAATAACAGCAGAACAGCTGGCAATGATACTGAAGTGCAACCGCTCCTCCAGCTCGAGTGGGTCCAAATCTGTCTGGAAACTTGTCCTCTCCGAAACCTCTCAGGTCCTGGACCAGGCTCTGGATCTGCTCGTCAACACGGTATGAAAGCATTACACAATATTTTGTAAGACGAGAAGAACCTTCTGCAAACCGTCTGTTGTTGAAAGATAAGAAAAGTCAGTAGTTACATCACATTTTGATCTTTGTTATAGACTCTGGACGCCAACAACCCAGCAGTGTCCGTGATTCTGGACACCATACAAGAACTCCGAATAGATACTGTCAACACAGCCACCCTCAATAATCTAACCTTCATCCAGACGTGGTTTGGTCGCCGCCTTCTCCCATTTCTGCCAGCTGTTTCACCTGACTTCCTTTCATGTATCTCCACAAAGAACCTGACCTGCAGCTCCTACCAGGCCATGTAAGAAATTAGACCATACAAATTACATCAAATGTGACTGCCTTTCTTGGTATACCAAAAGCCTGCCATTTTTTAATTAATCTAATCCCAATTTCAACTCAGTCTGCAGATTTTGAGTCAACTCCGGCCACAATTGACGTTTGCCAGGCAGATGTCTGTCTACACGCACTTCATTAAGGTTTACCTGACCAGGAACAACAGCACAGGTACACTGCTGTATTACAGCCCAGTAACAATCAATGGCAGCCTATTAACAGTTACAGTCTATGTATTGTTCACGTCACATCTGAATTAATCCAACATTCACACATGTTGATAGAATTGGTGGGATTCAGGAATACAGTAATCCAGGGTGGTCACGTGTATTGCAAAGTGACATAACAATGTATGATAGATGCTTTTCCTTCAGCACAATAAAGCTGAATTTCCTCTGTGTGTGTTTGTGGTTCAGACCCCGCCTGCAGCTCAGGCATTGCCACCAGTGCACAATGGCTGCAGGTGAACATGGGAGGTTTTGCCTATCTTGCGACGTTCCAGGACATTCAGACGATCTACTCCAACTTCTCAGCGGTGCGTTATGATGCACTGCATTCTCTGTCTTTACATCTGTTTTCTTGTGGGGTGGGGTTTCCCTCTGTGATAACCACAACTGTCACTGACAACATGTGTGTTTTCATATGCAGATGGAAGCCTTGTCACAGCTCACGGTCAGACAGCTAGCCGAGGTGTCCACAACACCTGGACAGCTCACAACTTCTGAGCAAGTCAACATGGTGATGAAATATGTGCCTGACCAGTCTCTGGCTGACTTCTTTGATGATTTCTCATCTGTTCACCTGGTGAGCATACATCATGTTATAAAGTCACCTGGTGTGTTTTGTTGATACTAGAGGTCAAGTCAAGCTGAGTTTATCTGTTCATCACATGTAAAACATTCATACGTTTTGTGTTTATGTTTGCAATGATGGTAAACTCTAACATTTTTCTGGTTAGTCTTCTCACACAGAAGTTGAAGAAGGTCCTGTTACACCTGTTACATCTAAAAAACATGATTATTACTTTTGGTTTTTTCTACAGGCTCCTGAAGACGCATTGCCTTCAGTCGTGAGGTCAGCCATGTTGCAAGTTGTGTTTGATCGTGCAAACCTCTCCCTTCCTTCGATGAGTGATGCGGACGTAGAGGTGTGGCTTACCTCCCGGCTGCCACCCCTGCTGGTACAACTTTCACCAGGACAAGTTGCACCTTACTTCGGAATACTGGCGGGACGGAGCTGCAGCATTGAGCAGCTGGGGTGAGCACAAAGCTTCAAGCACCATATATGGAAGTATTTAAGCAATCTGACTGGAAATAAACCTTTGCATTTTTTTGTTTCAGTGTACTGAACCTGAACATGACTATCTCAACGCTCAGCACAGACACACAGCAGAAAATCTATGATCAAATCCTCCAGACCCTCGGAGGTAAAGCTAACCCAGGAAACCAGTAAACTCAGCTTTAATTTTTTTTGTTGGATGCTTTATGAAATTGGGCTGTAACATTCCTGTAAGCGAGTAGCCCATTCACATTTCTTAACATAATGGCTGCCAGCCTTGTGAAAGTGAGAGAGGAGTCAGACATTGAGTTTTCTCCTATGCTCGCTCTTGTTATTTTTTCATTAAACATGTATGTTTGTCACATTTTATGTGAATACAACAACAAGTAAAACTGTATTTATTTATTTTATTCCAGATGGCTTAACAAAGCATGAGGCAAAGTTCCAATATTATAACCTAGTTTGTGTCTCCACCTTTTCCTCTAGGTCCAACACCTCTCCGCTGCTACAGTGACAGCTACAACACCAGTTTCTATGGTTTCCTGGAGCAATCTTTCATGGGTTTCCAGTTTCCCAACCTCACCGCCTTCCTGTCGCTCATGCCTCCTGACAGAATGAGTCTGGTGTGTTGACTTGAAAGATATCAGGAGTAAATATGATAAAGCAAGAGGGGAATGTCTTAATTTATGTCTTCTAATCTTCTAGATCATAAATTCCATCCCTCCATCGGAGCTTGGGGATTACCTACGACGTCCTAATGTTGTCGACAACAACGCACAGCTCTGCATGCTCTTCAACAGCTACAGCCAGACACCACAGTTTCTAGAAACTGTACGTAGCCCAAGGCACAAGCACACACAGAAATGCAAACACAATGCAATGATTAAACACATTAATCTGTGCATTGCCTCCAGGAGTCTCTGCCGGAAGCGGTGAGGCGCTCCATCCTGCCCTGCGTCTGGCCCATGGCCCTCAGCAGCACCCAAACGTTGGAGGTGGATGCTTGGTTTGACCAACGCCTCAAGAACTACTTGCCCTTCCTCACAAAGAGCCTGATCAGTCCCAGTGTCATAAACAGCACCTCCTGCCTGGCCTTCCAAAAACTGTGTGTTTTACTACAGCACTAAATCCTGCTTTATATGTTTTTTTGTTTTGTGTTCTGATTTAAATTTGTTGTGTTTCAGTGTCTCAGTCCTTGGGGTATACAACTACACTACTGCTGACTTTGTGAGGGGAGACGTGTACAACACCATCAGGACTTACCTTTACGTCGGCTCAAGTAAGTCTTTCAAGAATGCCAGGGTCAAGGATCAAGTGGGATGCTAATTCAAGTGGGGGGAAAAAGACATTGATCAAATGATATTCTACATGAAACTGAACAGCAACCACATGTCACCTAAAAGCACAACTGCCTGAGCACAATTTAAATTAAAAGGAAAATTTAGTTGTACAC